GCTTTTTTTGGGATTAATTATATTTTTTACACTCCCATTTCCAATTTTTAGCCAAAAGTTTTTGCCCAAAAATGGAAACTAATTGCATGTCCATTTTGACATACAAGAATTTAGCTTGCTGGCATTGTTGCTGTGCTGTGCTGTTTAGTTTCGGTTTTTGCGGTTGTGCATTTAGTAGTAACCACTGCCACGCCCCCGCTCTCAATAGCCGCCCCCTCGTCCCCAGTGTTTTGAGGCAATAAGTGGCATGCCATTAAATAGACCGCAATTTTATTAGTTGCTGCTGCTGCTGTTGCATCAAAACAAAGGCAAATACAAGGAATGCAAAAAACAATATCGAGGTTACCAATAAACTTGCCGAGTAATAATAAACACACAGCGTATAGGAACATAAAGCTAAACCAATTAAAATTTAAGCATCACGAACAGCCGAAAATGTGGGTATTCCAATTTTAGTTTACGGCGTAAGTATTGCCAAATACTTGAGGAGTCGACAAACAAAAGCGTGAACTATTCCATTTCCATAAATATCATCTGTCAAAAGACTGTCGAAGTGGGCCAAAATTTTTGAATGTGTCATAATGGAAAATACATAAATTCCGGCCTCACAAAATCAACAATTTTTGATTCAATTGAAAGCCAAATATTTTACGAGCCTCTCTGCCATTCAATTTTGATTCCCACTTTAAATATGGGAGAAGTTTTCGCCAAAACTTTTTTGCATCCACCATATTTTCATTTCAACTCAATTGAGTGTGACAATAATATAGAATTTATATAGGCACACCGCACACATACAACTGCGGTCACAAAAATTGTCTTTTTTAGTTTATGGAAATGGCAATCAAAACTAGTTTTTAAGCAACTTTTGATTTTTTTTTTATATTTTCATGAAGTATATAAAATAAAATATTTTCGAAATATTTGTAAACCAATTTTTGTTTAGTTTTTAATTTTAAAAATATACTAGATATTAAGAATATTTGTAATTCAACATAAAGTGCATATGAACGAGAATTATGGGTAATTTTCCTAAATTTGTTGAACAATTTTTACTACGGTATTTTGAAAAAGTGATTTTTATTGAATTATTAACAGCTTTTACTTTTCTTTAAAAACTGAAACAATATCAAAAGTTTTTAAGCTCAATTTTGTTCATTGGTAACTAAACATTCAAAAAATTTGCTGCGCCTACTGTTATTATGACCGCAGCTGTACATATTAATATAAAATCAAATATTTGCATAGCCAACCATAATCCATAAATAATAATTCCATCAATTTCAATTCAAATTTCTTGTGCCATCTGTTTTTTCCCCTGCCATTCATACACACAATTTCATAATATATTTAACACAATTTATTGTCGATTTTTTCCCCCTCAAAAGTTTTTTTTTGGGGGGTGTAGGAGAAGCGAATTTAAGGCGCTAAGCATTTCCCCTGGCGATTGATTCAATTGCCCAAACAAGAGTTTATGGAACTCTCAGTGCTTCTCTTTATAATCTTGCACGGCTATCTCGTTCTTTTGGTAAAACATGTAAATTACAATTCATGCGGTGGCTGTCAACAGTTTTGCTTACTTTTTTGGAGAGTTTTTTGTAGGGGGTGTTAGGAGAGAAGAAAAAACAACATTGGCAAGCAAATATATGACAGGTTTTTGTGCTTAAAATATATTTTGGACGTTTTTTTTTTAAGCAAAACTTTGACCCATTTTTCAAGTTTACTGCCACTCGCTAAAGTGGCCTTGTCCTTGTATTTTAATCATGATTTACATGCTGGCCAAAACAAAAACTTTTAATGGCCAAGAGAGGCAGGATGACAACATGGAATGTCTGCCGAAAGGTTACAAGTTGGCCCCTAGATATTTGTCTATATAATCGCTTCAGTATATTTATTGAATGTTTGCTTTTTTAAGCTTATTGAATATGTGTTGCTTTATTAAATTGCCCTATAAAATAGGCTTCATAAATTGAATTCAACTTAAAACACATGTGTCTTTTATATAAAAGTTATTAGTTTATTGAATTATTATATTACTTTAAGCTCTTGTATATTTTTTATGGTAAATCCATTATTTTTAAAAAGTCAATTTTAATTTTTTTTTTATAATGTTTTTGTGAGTAAACTCTCTTTGGCTGCTAATACATTAAAATACTTTATTTTTGTTGTTTTTCCTTGGTTTTCTTTGTGTTAAAATGAAGGTTGTTGAATTTGTTTTGCTTTTCCGAGAAAAAAAAACAAACAACTTTTAGTTGGTGGGCAGTATAAGTTCTCTCTTTTCCAGTTCTGATTTATTTAATCCTTATTGTTGCTGCAATTGCTACTCTCGAAAGTTATTTTCTGTCTCTGCAGGACTTTTTAATAAAACCCGCCAAACTATGTGTTCCAATAGCAGCCAGGCCAAAAAGGTTTTTCGGTTACAAAAAAAGGTGATTATTTACATTGCCAACCCGCAGAGAGGCAGCCAATATTTTTCCAACAATTATTGGACTCGACTTGGGGTCCCCGCGGGGCACTGGAAAGTCAAGGGTTACGGCGACAAACTTTTAAGGCACAAACGCAAAAAAAAAAAAAAAAAACAAGAATTGTAGAGACCATTTCGAAATAAAAAATAAGTACATAAGTATTTTCGGAAAAGGGGCGTTGGCCGCATGAAATTATTAAAAAGTTGCATATTTACGATGACCAAAAGACCGGGAGTAAAGTTTTTCCTTTATTTTTATTTTTTGACATGACTGGCCCTTAACGTTTTGAGGGCTTATTTAGTTTAAGACGCGCACATGGCAAAGTTTTCTGCTTTTGGCTGACAGCAAAGTTGCCGTCGAAGAGAGCAGCGCACAACTTAACTTGGCTTTGACTTTCGGTTTTATGTACCAAAAAATGGCCCAAAAATAAAAGGAATTGTTTTTAGTCAGCTTAAGGAGGAAGTTAAGTGAAAGAGAGAAAGCCTGAGACAGACGTTTTAATTTAATTGGAAATGGGGTGGCTAAAAGTGCTCTCTTTTTAATTTTTTGACTTTTATTTATGTTGATTGAGAGAGCTGTGAATAATGTGGCGGAAAAAGTTTGATCAAAGCCTCGTGGACAGGCGAGAAATTATGACCATCAAGAAAATGGGCAGGAAAATTTGTCAAATAATGGCTGCAGCGAGTAGTAATTTGATCCTTAAAGGTTAATTGCCAGATTGACCGAATTGTATGACAATTCTTTTCAATTTCTCCAAAAGGTCAAACCTTTTTGGCCCTAATGCTATCGAATCGATTGTGTGTATTTTTATTTTGAGCTGTCGATTACCCATCCCAACTTTAAGTTTCACTTTAGTGTGTTTGTATGCGATATTATCGCCTAACAAGCGGAAAATAGCAGGCGAAGGATGGAAAATGTCGAGCAGAAGGAGGAAAGACCTTCTTAAGTTGACAACGACAACGACAATTTAGGTATTGATTTAGATAGCGTCTGGCAAATATGTTTTCCCAATTGAAGGGGAACAATATTGGGAAAACAGGAGGGTATACGCGCGCTTTTCCTGATACATCCCGCATTTTCCCGCCTCAATAAGTTATCTTGTAATTGGTAATTGTACAATGATTGATAAGCAATGAAGTAAGTGCTTGTATTTTGGCAGCTTAAATTAACCCGTTTATTAAAACAGCAGCTTTAAAGCTTAAAATACAAAACCATATTCAATCCACATTATTTATATATATAATTTATGGTACTGACTGCTTATCAACAAAGTTAACTACAATTAAATTACAGAAAAAAAGTTGTACTCCCATTTCTGAAACATTTCAACAATTTGTTTAAGCGGAAAAACTTGACTGGGGTGTTTAAAGTACATTGGTTGCAAAGCGATTAAATATTATAACACATATAGCAGAAATATCTCATTTTATAAAATCAACTTTTTGTTATACTTTTCTTTTAAAGACCTTTTTGTATAACAATTCCACAAATGTATTGTTAGACCTTAAGGTATACAATTTTTAAAGGCCTATTTTGCTGGCCATTAAACGGGTTGATTTAATCAACAGCAAGCAAATAGTAATAATTGCAAACTGTTGCTCATAAATTAAATTGTTTTTAAACAAAAAAACTTATACGCTGTATTTGCCCTTTCACTGTTCATTGAATAAATCAAACATACAGAACATTTATTCACTCGGTTAGTGCTATAATTGCTGGGCGAATAAAAAAAAATAAAAATAAAAGAGAAATAAAATCTGAATGTTAAATTAAGAAGTAATGAAGTGAAATTTCACAAAAAATGCAGTTGAGGAAAAATAAGAAAAAGCTTTACAAAAAGTAAACTTACAAAAAATCTTTTCAATTTTATTTTAATTATATCATGAATTGAATTTATTATTAAACTAAAAGACTTTAGTGTTAAAAAAAATGGTAAATGCACAAAAATCAGACTAAAACAATTAATGGGACAAGAGTAGCGAGAAAAATGCCATGTAAAATGAGAGGGGCTTTTTTTGGCTGCCAGTCGGTGGCGTATACGCAATGCGAGAAATCAACAAAATGTCTTCAATTCCGGTGTGTGTTGCAACATTGCCAGCTATTTTTATTCGTCTGTCAGTCATACCGCTTTCCTATCTTCCTTTCTTTCTTCTTCTCCTTTCTTCATTCTCCACCTTTTTTGCTCTCTTTGCCACTTTCTTCTCCCCGAAGAGCAGCTGCTGTCTTCCTGTCTAATTTATATGTGCATATTAAATTAGATTTGGCGAGGCAAAAGTGTCGCGCTAGGCATTTGTGCAACCCACACACTCACACACCCACACACAGCTGCTTCAATCGGTTGGCTTTCATTATTTAATTGCCACTCTTGACAAATTTCTAAGGCACACCAGGCGTATGTGCAATACGGCTGGGAATAATCAGATTTTGATGGAAATCTGCATCCGAGTGAAATGTTGCCAGCTTTCAGGCTGCATTTATATTTATTTATTTATTTTAATTAACCATTTTTGTTTTGTTTTTTTTTTTTTTTTGTAGCAACAATCGCTGAGCGATACGAGTGCCGCCAGCAGCGGCAAAGGCTCCAAATTCTTATTGCGTAAGCGTAAATCGAAGAAGACAGCCGCAACAACAGCAGCCACAGCAACAGCTGACAACGCGACAAAGGCCAAAAAAAGTGGCAAAAAGGGTGAGTTGCTTGGGAAATTTAAGGATTTTTCCACCTGCTCAATGGAAGGTAAAAATTTGCGTCCAGGAAGTGTTTATAAAAGTTTTGTAATTAAAATGGCAATTTTCATATATATTAATAAATATTAAATACATAAAAAATATATATATAAACATAAAAAAATTTGTATAATAAAAAAATTTTTTATAATATATAAAAAACATATTTACTTGATATAACAGTATAAAAGTATTTAATTTATAAAAACTGTAATCTATAAAACGGAAATCGTAAATAAGAAATGCACTCGTTTGTGCAATACAACTTAAACTATATTTTGTGATATTTTGTTGCAGCTGACACTACTTCGCAGCCTTCGATCAAGTGCGTGCTGGTGGGCGATGGAGCTGTGGGCAAGACGAATCTGATCCTGTCGTATCTGGAGAATCGCTTCAATCCCGAACACATACCCACAGCCTCAGACATTTATAACGGTGAGTATTTGGCATTTGTACACCTAAAAAAAAGGAATACAAATTTAGTTTTTAATAACAAAAAAAGTATGAAAACATTCCAAATTTTTTTTGGTATTTTTTGGCAATGCATGTCCACAAGTCCCCCATTTTTTTGGGGCGAATTTTGACGCCATTGGGTTGATGGCCCCCTTTCAACAGGTCTCCCATTCAAACGACCTTCATTTCTTATACTCAATTCGTTCTGCTTTTTCGCCGACCTTTGCAGCCTTCGTTTCGCTTCGATTGAAGGCGTGGAGTCAAGAATTCGGGTTGGATTTGGGCTGCTTTTCTCGGCACGTATATGAATTTTTCATTTTGTTGAAAACCAATTTGTGAAATCTTTGCCGAGTTTTCCATGTGAAGGATGTGCCAACGATGGGCGAAAATTGAAGCCAGTTCTGTGTAGTTGTAGATATTTCTGTGGGGCTTCTCCTGAGCCTCAATTGACTTGCACTTTATTTCCGCATTTGGCGAGTGGTTTTTGTGTGTGTTTTGTGCTATTCACGAATTTTAATGAACGGAAAATTGAAATTTGCGGTTATTCAACAGGAAAACCTGACTTTGTTTCGGTTTCGTTTTTTTCCCCTTTTTTTCCATAAGCAATTGATTGAGTTATGCTTAGCCCTTAACCCCCTCCCCTGCCTGCCTTAACCCATAGCCATGGTGTCTGGCACTCGAGACTGCCGCCGGCAGCCAGTTTAACCCCTCACCAGGCCCAAGGGGCTGATTTTAATAAAATTTTGCATGAATTTGCACTTCTCTGCACACACTCGCTTTTGGGGCCAAAAATTGTGTTGCCTGGCTGCCACTGCCACTCAGTGGAAAAGAGTGGAGTGAGTCCTGTGCCACATTCGCCCTGCAGATAATCGTGGAATAATTCAACAGATTCAACTAGGTGTAGTACACTGAATTGCAGGCGAATTTTCTTCTGCTTTTAGTTGGTATTTTGGCCAGATTTTGAAAGGTATTTATAAAACTTAAAGTTCCATTTAACAAAGCATGCTTAGAAAAGGATTTAATTATTTGTTAAATATATTTTCTAAAATTAGTAAATGTATTCTTAAAATTATGTAAATAATTCTTAAGTGAACAGCATTCTAGGCATATTTTTTTAAACGAAATAATATATAAAATGATTTAAATTATTTTTAACTTAAATTAATTGTTTTACATTTTAAATAAAAAAATATATATATTTAGTTTTACAATAAAACGCATTTTAAATAAACATTCGAAGTTTATATTTTTTTTATATCTTTTGTATAATGCTTGTCAAAGTTTTTTACCTCATGGATTCATGCTAATTGAATCCCCTTTTTTGAGGACGAATTGCAGCTTTATTTTTTGTGTGTCTTTGAAAGAGTGGGAGAATTGTATTTGAAACATTTCTTAACGCCCTGAAATGCTAGGAATCCCCACTGCCTTTTTTTTATTGTTTTTTGCCAGGGGTCGCCTCGATGTCCTTTTGTCGTTTGTTAAGTATGAAATTACGCATACGCCTCGTGGTCCTAGCAAAGGGAGGAAAAGGGGAGGTCATTGAATACCAGGAATTGCTGGCTCTCAACTTTGCCGTGGAATCTGCAGTCCCTTGACCCAGCTTTCCTGCTTTTCCTATCAATTTCCTAAATGTGCACTCACAGCTGTGGTTAAAATAATAGTGATAAGATAATGCGAAGTAAAAAGGGCTCAAAAACCTACTTTTAAGGCATAGGACAACTTTTCTTTTAATTTACCATAATGCTTACTAACCAAAAAACAAAATAAGACTTTTATAAACCTTTGATATTGTTTTAGTTTTTTAAGGAAATTTAAAATTAAAATTCACTTCACTGTTGTCAATGATTTTTGAATAATTATAAAAAATCTTCTTTTTTTGTTAAATTTACTTATTTATGGTATGAGCTTCACAAAAATACAATTTTTGTTCTTTCAAAAGTAGCTTTTTAATTATTTAAGGTTAATATTTCCAAGAGCAAAAAAAAACTACTATTATTTTTACCAACTGTACATATTTTGCTTTACGCCCAGACTTTGGCATAGTTCGGCCATTTGGCATAAGTTTTGGAACTAATTAAGGCAGGAAGGTTGGCTAATTGACTTGCTCTAAGTGCGTCAAATTGTTGCAATTTTTTGTTTTTTCGTTTTCGTTTCGGCAAGAAGACACCGGCAGTCTTAATCGTTAATTGGCTGAGTGATTGTGCTACTCCGACCGTGCCACCATATATATATCACTCAATCTGTCACAGATGTAGAGGAGAAAAGGCGCTGCTCGGGACTCCGACTCAATTAGGTGTCAATAAGGTTGAGTCAGCAGGAAAGGCGGCGAAAAGGAAGCTGCCTTTTTGGCTCACAATTACACAATTGCTCACTTTTTCACGCACACACACATGTGCTTCTGTTCTTGAGTTTGGTTTGGGGGCCATCCGCAACCGCCAACGATGTTCGCCTTTTGTCCCGACCTTCGCCATTGTCTGGCTTTCCCTTTCTCCAAAGGGAATACTTCACTTCACTTCACTTCACTTCAATTCACTTCACTGTTTTTGTTCTCCTTCGCGTAAAGCGATTTTCAGCTGAGCTGGCAAACAATTTCCCTTTCGTGAAATGGCAAAGGGAAAGGAATGGCATTGGCGGCATTGAATGTACTCCTCCGGCATTGATTTCCACTTTTACACTTTTTGGCAGCCCAAATAGCCAAGAAATATACGGGGCAACTAATAAAGCAACAATGAGAGGAGGCTCTCAAGGTAATGGCACAACGAAATGGGCAATGTGATTGGAGTACTTATTTTTATTTTTAGACAGTTTGACATGGGGCCGGCTATCTTTTCCATTTCACAGTGAATTAAGATTTTGTAAAACTGATTATAAGAAGAGCAGTCTAGAAAAGGATGGAGGAAGAAAAAACGTTAAGTACCTATGGAGTTGCTTGGCTCTAAAAGATATTTTTAGAAAATAAATGTAAATATTAAAAAAAAAAAATTAGAGGTAAATATTTGCAATACTTATTTATAAAATATTAATGTACAATTAATTATTATTGAAAAATTACTACTGTAGTTTAATTAAAGAGTAGACACAAACGTTTAAAAAACCTTACCAATAAATTTTCTCTTTAGAAAGTAATGTTCATGGACCACAAAATACACCGAATGAAATGAAGCGAACGTTTTTTGTTGAGCTTCATTAAACTTGGGCCAGAGAAGAAGTCACATCAGCGTCAGGCCTTCAGATTTTTTTTTTTTTTTTTTTGGTACCCTCAAATGTATTCATGAATTTCATGCGCTGCACAAATTAAATTTATTTTACATGAGCCCCAGAGCCACGGTGCTGTTCGTGGCGACCTTCGCTGCACCTGCAACCTGCAACCTGGTGTACTACTAGTACTTCTACTACTCCTACTTCTACTACGTGCTGCATGCTGCATGCGGCAGGCTGATTAAAAATCCCCGAGCAGGGCAACAGTGCAGCCGGGCAACCTTATTTACGCAGGCCAAACAGTCGGAGGAAGCTGCATTGAATGAAAGCTTGCCGTGATTAACTTTTAGATAGGACATGGACACAGTCCGGGGGGTTTTATTCAGCGAACGCGACGCGAGGTCAACTCTGCTTGGCAGCGCGTGCTAAAAAAACAAGTCATGCCGAAGCTTCAGCCTCAGCACACAGAAAACAATTCAAAAGTCATATTCAATTGATATGTAAATTGTGCGAAATAATATAATAGCATGTCAACATTATTTATTAACTTATGACAAACAAGAAGAGAACTGTACTTTGTTTAAATAGTCTTGCAACTATATCAAAAACAAAATATTAAATAATATTTACATTTACATGTTTAAACATAATAAAGATATTTCCATTTTTTCGATCATTTCTATGGTGGATACAATACGATTAAAGCCGTTATTCTGAAATTAAAGCTATATGTTGAAATACGTTCGTATAAATTGAAAAACAAAGATGTTATAATTTTGTTTTATTTTAATTTTTAAACTTCCGACTGAAATTATAAAAATAAAAATAATATAAATAACTTTTAAGGACATTTTTAAATCTGTTTAAAGTTTTTTTTTTAAACATAAACTCGATAATAAAAAAAAAAAATAAATAAATACCAGATATTTAATTTTCAAAGTATAAATTTATTAATATTTTTTTTTTAGTAGGTTGATCATTTATTTGAAAATATCATTCCAAAATATTTGCAATTTTCCGAGTGTGAATTTGACAAACATTGCCAACCCTTTCGTCACTCTTTTGAGCATCATTCAAATCATTTTCGCTCGCGTTTAAATATGAATGTTCTTTGCACACATGGGAATTGGCGGAAAAGTGGATGGGAAAAATGTTGGGAAATTTCCAGCTACCTAGTTACCCAGCATCCCTGCGCTTTACTAATTCACTTGCTAGCGTTTCATTGTTGATGCCACTCCACGCTTCCCATTTTCATTTTCCTGAAACTCCCGCTTTTCCCGTTCGAGTTGTGGGCAAAATGGCATCAATGCAATTTTGAATGTAATTAAACAGATGTTATCACTGGAGCATCGAGCGAACATATATGTGCTGCAAGAATAAATATTCATTAACTGGCCTAAAAGTCTTCTCCAATAACCAAACTTGTAAAGTAACGATTACTAATTATTGGTTTTCTTCATTTTCTAATTATTAAAACTTTGCGTGAGGGCGGCGTTCCCTTGGAATTTAAAGTGTCTAATAAGTAATGATTTCTAAGATACACATTAATACAAAAATAATAAGTACCGGAAAGTTCATTCATTTTTTATTTTGTGTGATTCCTTTTTTTTATTACTTTTTTTTTGCAAACATTTAAATATTTAAACAAGTCTACATACAATTCTGTAATAAAATTCTAAATATTCTGGAATCTTTAATTCATTTAGAGCTTGTTCTATTGATTAAAGTTTACTTGCAGCTTCAAAATGTACATGAATTGGATAGTTTCCCAGTTTTTCCGATTTTATATTTTTTTTATTTCTGTGTTTTTTAAAGTACCACCTGTCATGTGTCTGTGTGAGTGTCTACGATTACTATCTGTTCTTGTGTGGGGTTTGTGGCTGTGTGGGTGTGTGTTTGTGCGTGTTTTTGGGTGTATGTGCCTTGTGCTATGCCAAAAATGTGCACTTGCGTGGAGGGGACAACAAAAGGATTGGTAAAGCATTTTAAATTAAATGAAATTCCGACAGCAGAATGCAATCACAAAGTGCAAAGGGCTCAGAATGAGTGTAATTTACATATTTTGTAATTAAATTAAACCGAAATCAGGCCAAACCGATGGTTCCCCCACGGAGACACACAAATCAATTGATTGATTAATTTGGGAAATAACAGGAGTGAAAATGTAGAAAATGGGAACACAGCTGAAACACATTGCTTAAGATCATGACTTTAACAAATGAACTTGTATTTTAAAAAACTGATGAAGTAATTTAACATGTATTTTCAGCAGATTGTTCTTTTAATATTTATGTGATTTTACCAGAAGGGTACTGTAATAATACATTTTATTAATACGATTTGAACACAGATTTTGAGCTTAGGCTCTTAAGTATTTTTTATTTTTATGTTCTTACATTTTTTGCCTTGTTGAATAAGGGCACATTTAAATATACATAATTATTTCTGTTGAATAAACGTATATTTTAGATATGTAATTATTATATAAAATTACATTTAACTGATTTTTTTGTGCACCCACAGCCGATGTGAATGTGAACGAGAGTCCGGTGCACTTGACGCTCTGTGATACCGCCGGCCAGGACACTCTGGATCCGCTGAGGGAGCTCTGCTATCCGGACAGCGACGTCTTCCTGCTCTGCTTCTCGGTGGTGAAGCCGGAAACGTTTCGGGCCATCAAGGCCAAGTGGGCACCGAAGTTCGCCAAGACCAAGGCCGCCCTGATTTTGGTTGGCACCCAGGCCGATCTTCGCACCAGCCCCAATGTCCTTAACAAACTGCAGGTGAGTTGGCTGATTTATTAATGCCACTGCTTCCGCCACTGGCTTTATCATTATATATCTGACTCTGACTCTGGCTGCGATTCAAATATTTATGAAATTCTTATTTGATTTCATATGCCCCGAAGCTAACATTTTGATTTGTTCTTCTCTTCTTTTTTTGGTTTGTTTTTGTGCAGACAAATGGCGAGAAAGCAATTTCATATGCAGACGCCTGGGATTTGGCAACAACAATTGGCGCAAAATACATTGAGACTTCGTCAGCCACACAGGTGAGTCCCATCATCCCATCATCCCATCCTCCATGGGCAGACGGGGTGGGAAAAATTGAGGGGAAAGGGAGAACCCTATATTAATTAAAGCCAAAAGGCAGACAAGTCATTGCTCTGGGTCTCCGACTTCATTGCGGCCGTCTCGTGTAAACACTAGAAAAGTAACCTTTAGAGGGAAATGGGTGTGGAATAAAAAATACCATAAAGTATAACATTCAATGTATAGTATTCCTAACATTTATTAATCATATAAAAGTTAGAAGTAGCTTCTATTAAATAAAGCCAAAATTGTGTAAATGTGAATTAAATAAAAAATACCATAAAAGATACTGTATTTAAAATAGTATTACTCAGGAAAGACAATTTAGTGCTTATAGTCACTATTAAGACCTAAAATATATAAAAGTTAGTGAGAAGTTTTCTTTTCTTAATTAAATTAAATTGTAACTCTTAGGCAAAAATTAAAAAAAGCATACAGGGTATTCCGGGAAAAGAATCTTTCTGAAAAAAAAAAAATAAATAGCAAAGAAAAAGCCAAAAAGGACGTTTCTCCTGCGGGAGGCAGTTCGTCGTGGTCCTGGTCGGTTTTTTTGTATCCTTTTGAGTCGCCTTGTCACATTGCACACACACACAAAAATCATAATTGTGCGGCTGTGAGCGTTGAAGGAGGGGGAAATTATATACATATATAAGTATATACGACTTGGGGCATGGGATCCCCTTGTTTGTCCCAAACACTTCCGACTGAATGCCGTCGCACTGCGATCCTGTCATCCGTACATTGCACTCTACGTGAATTTCCCCGAAGGTAGCAGCTCCAGCCACGCCCCCTTTCCTCGCCTCGCCTCCGCCCCCTTGCTTCACAAAAGAAGGCGACAGCGAAGATGAAGCGATTGCAACAAATTATAAAGCACTTGGCACCACCAACCAGATGATGATGACGGTGACGATGATAATAACAACGATGATGATGACAATTTGTTGTGCAAGTGCTTCGCTAGTTGCTGGAAAATAAGACATATATATATATATATATATATATATATACACATATAACACCGCAATTAAGTTGCATTGCCGCCGGCGGGAATTGTTGTCCACATTTGTTGGAAAAACTTCAGGGAGTGGATCCTAAGGGGGCTCAGAAATAGATACGGAAAACACCTGGAGAATACAACTTTTATAAGCCGTCTCAAATTTGGTCGGCAGAAAACAAATTTTATGACAACACACAAATTGTTGAAATAATAATTGAAATTTTCATAATCCATTTGTTTAGGGAAATACGAATATTCCAATTAATCCATTCAAAGCTACTTAGATATTTAAGTATTTGCTCTTAGCACAAATAGAAAATGAATAAATACTGTTAAATTTAAAACTGTAAACACTAAACTTGTCTTGAATATTACTATATTTTATTTATAATATTTTATGGAATTTTTTTTCCGAAAAGAGTAAAAATCTGAATACTTTTTTATAGATATTCTTTTGTTTGCTTGTAAAAACCAAGTTTGCTTGTAAAAACAAATATATTCAAGCTGCACAAATAAAGAATCAACAAATAAGTTATCCACACAAAAATCAGTAAAAAAAAGGTAACCCATTAAGCAACTATTAAATTAAACCTGCCAACACTTGGTTAAAATATTTAATTTGGCATACTATCAGCTGGACAATGGTTGTAATTAGTATAGCAAAAGCGGAAAGTTTTAGTGGGGCTTTATTGATTTAATTAAGCAGTGATTAATAACATGACTATTTTGTTCGCAGGACAAAGTCAAGGATGTGTTCGACACAGCCATTTGGGAGGGCCTAGTGCCCACCACCCTGCCGCCCACGCCGTCCTTCTGGAGGAAGCTCTTCTGCCTGGCCTGAAACTCGAAAAATCTACTCAACTCCACACACGATTTATTATTTTTTTTATTCGGATAGCTGTAGATTATAATTAACTATTATTATTTATATTGAACAATTTTTTATTAGAGATTTTCGTTTAGCAGTGCTTGCACACAGACTGATCTACACAATAACTAAAATAATATACCTAAAAAAAAGTTTATTAATAATGTTTAATGCCTAAACAAATATGTTTTCAAGATCGATTTTTTACTCGTACTCGTAATCATGTTCATGGATTTTTCCCATTTTTTTTTTGCTTAATTTATAGTCGTAAACTATTTAAACTTAATTATTATGGCCCAGACCCACGACTATGTTACATCATTCCATCCGTTTTTAAGCATTACGTTTTAAGCAAATATTTCAAATATTGTATATCGAAGGCAGCATTAAATATAGCAAAGAAACAAATTCACCAAAACCCGTATTCTTTAAATTGAATTTTCCGTCCAGTGTTTCCAAATAATTTGGCATCCTAATGCCATAAGTGCTGGCAAAAATAATAATAAATACCGAAGGCATTACGCGGGGTTGTGTGAGAGACTTTGGATTGGAGAGCAGAACCAACAAAAGCTACATTAGCGTGCCAGCAAAGTCTCCACTCTCGACTCTCGACACCGCTAAGTAAACACACGCACAGTGCAGCCGCACACACCACACACATACACCACACACACACACCACACACATGCCACAGCATCTGAAGGAAAAGTTTAAGGAAAAACTGAAAACAAAATCTGTCAAGTTTGCATACCCCCACAGTGGCTGTCATTTTTGGGTGGAAAAGTAACAAAACTCTCTAAAAACCATTTATAAAATTTAAAAACTTATTTCTTCTCACACAGAAATATAAAATGTTGAATGAGTTTTATAACTTTCTTATCATAAGATCAGTTTCCGCGGCTTGAAAACTGTGGAAAGATAAACTAAAATAAATTGCGAACTTAAATGCACAAAGATCATAAATAATTACAAAATGCAATTGAAAATTAAACATTAAAAATACACCATATAAGTATATTTAAGGTGTTTAAGACTCAAAATGTTTATAAGTAACCGCTTTTCCAATATTTTCTTATAAACAAAAAAGAACATATAGATATCAATGTGTTTGGTTTTTCATTTCATATATGATTATAGAAGACATTTTTTTTGTCAGCGCCATTTAGTTCTTTTTTTGAGAAGGCAGTAATTTATATATTATTAATTTTGATTATAGAAACTTATAAGAATATTTCGCCTATAAAGCTTTTTTATGGCATCAAAGTAGGCAGTAATTTCATTTTAAATGTTAAATTCTGGCCAACCTAATTCACATAAAAATTCCACACAAACTAAATGTATAGTATTCAGTGACTTTCTATTCAGTTTTTCGTTTTTTCTTACTTTCTGTTGCTTTTTTTTTTGGCATTGTAAGCTCATAGAAGAGGGTCCATCAAATGTTTTGCTGATGCTGATGTCTTGATTACAGCATCGCGGCATCAGTGCCAGACATTTTGGTGGGCAAAAAGTACAATATTCAAGGGGCAAAAAGGGAAAAAGGGTTAAGAACATAGCAAGTAATAGCAGCAGTAATAACAAAACTTAACTCCCAACCAGCTGACTGACAGGCAAGTGCAGAGTAAACATTTTCACATTGTCTGGCCAAATCTGGCGAGCAAACAGTTAATGCGCCTGTCGACAGCAGCATCACATCAACAGCAGCAGCATGAGCAGCAGCAGCAGCAGCAACACCCCGCAGCAACATGCAACAGTTTTTGCGTAGGCCATATAAAACTGAAGATTCGGCAAGACGTTATTGCAGATACGTCTGATACGACAAGAACAACACAAAAAATCATAATAAATCAATGGCAGGACGAAGGAAACTTGGTTATGTCATGTTCGTAAATTTATGGCTACTTACACAGGCAAAAGCAATAAATACACAATTTATTAGACAAATATTTTGGGGGCAAAGCAAATTGCTATGCGTATGGCCGTGCTAATGATGCATATCTCCAGTTGACCGTGTGAATGTGTGTGTGCTCTTTCGTCCTGTCCAGGATGTCACTTCATTTTGAGGTCGTCCCATGAAATATTGAGCAGATCACAAAAGACCTTCGGGCATGTCAATCGATTTGGGACAAATTCCGACCCACTTTCGATTAGCCCTGCGGCGGCCAATGACAAAATTCAATTTAAGTTTCATAATGAAAAATGTGTCTGTGAAACTGTTGAATGTTGAATGGTTTTGCTCGCCCTGTCCCCTTTTTTTCGTATTATTTTTCGTTGCCTTTGTTTGGTACGTGCCAATAAAGAGTCGGCTGGAGTCGAGGCACGCGGCTATTTATGTGGGTCATTCACGCGCACGGGATGCGGACCGCATCCGTAGTCCTTGTGTGTGTAATTTACTTACGAATAGATACAGATATGGCCACGGATACAGATACAGATACGGATACAGCCACGGATACAGACATGGACAGGGACACATGTGGCATAGATACGCGGCTGCCAGACACGCCACTTGAGCCCCCGATTGCGCCCGGTCGGCAGGCCTTCAGCCATAAGCTTCATATCCTGTAAGGAATGGTTCACTGGGGCATGCACAGCATTTGCAATTATTTTGCAACAAAATTAATTTTTAATTTGATGATGTACCCCCTTATCAAAAAAGCGAAAATTGCCATAAAATGAATTTAAAAACACCTTCAAAGTCGGTTTCTGTATCGAAACCCTGGGAATTAAAAATCAAAGGATGGAATGTCATACATCGGTGAATTCGTCACTAAAATTCCAATCATATGGTATTCACAGTTAAGAATTTTTCCATTTTTCAAGTTTTCGCAAAAAAATGATGATGTACCTTATCAAAAATGCAAAAATTGGTCATAACGTTAATTTTTCAAAAAGTCTATTTTGAAAAATCGATTTTTCTTATTAAAACCAAATAAATGACTCTAAACCGATTGTAGATGGTAGTATAGGTTGCCAGCTGTCTAAAAAAGTCAATCTTATTGCTCTACCTCTTATTTTGGCCAAGTTACAACAAAAGGACGCTTAAGGTATTTTTTATTTGTCAAATCTCCAAAAACCCAAAAAAGCACTTAAAATATCGGTTTTTGTATCAAAACATTGGGAAAAATTGGTCACCAGGTGGAATGTCATACATCGGCGACTTCGTCATTAAATTGCCAATCAAATGGCGTTCTCAGTTAAAAATTTTTCAGATTTTAAATTTTTCGCAAAAAATGATGATGTACCCCCTTATCAAAAATGCAAAAATTGGTCATAACGTTAATTTTTCAAAAAGCCTATTTTGAAAAATCGATTTTTCTTATTAAAACCAAATAAATGACTCTAAACCGATTGTAGATGGTAGTATAGGTTGCCAGCTGTCTAAAAAAGTCAATCTTATTGCTCTACCTCTTATTTTGGCCAAGTTACAACAAAAGGACGCTTAAGGTATTTTTTATTTGTCAAATCTCCAAAAACCCAAAAAAGCACTTAAAATATCGGTTTTTGTATCAAAACATTGGGAAAAATTGGTCACCAGGTGGAATGTCATACATCGGCGAATTCGCCGATAAATTGCCAATCAAATGGCATTCTCAGTTAAAATTTTTTCAGATTTTCAAAAATTTGCAAAAAATGATGATGTACCCCCTTATCAAAAATGCAAAAATTGGTCATAACGTTAATTTTTCAAAAGTCTATTTTGAAAAATCGTTTTTTTTTTCAGAAAACTCTATTTTAGATAAATTAAGGAAAATATGAAAAAGTAAATGTAATATGTTTGTATTGCAAACACTTATAATAATTAGTTAGCATATACTGTATATTAACATAGCTAAGTTCTGAAAACAATTAGTTGGTGAGGTGTACCGCATTACTGTATTAAATGAATTAAAATAAAATAAAATCAAATTGAAATATAATTGTTTTCTTTTTTAAATTAAGTATGCGCAATTTTACTGGGGTAAGGAGATAGCTGGGCCCAGACTCCTGGTATTTTAAATATGGGGTAACGACATAATTCCGCCGTTTCAAATAACCATAATTTCGCGCGATCTTACAACGCTTGAAAATGCAGCAGAAAAAATAACATAATTTTGCCCACTTCGAAACTAAATAATTTTAAAAGCGATCTTATGATGCTTAAGAACGACATAACTTGTTTGTCAGTTTTTTTTTTTTTTAATCTTTTGCCAGGGCTTAAAAATGAGAAAATTTACTTGTTCTAAAAATATATAATTAATACATTCTCTGAGTATATTTTAGCCAAATTATATTCAATACTTCCTCTTACTATGCTTTAACCAAAATGTAATTTCAAGAGGTATTTCTGCAGGTACTACTCCTTATTCTTGACCTTCTTGGGCATTGTTCCCCTTGACAAGTTGAGAGCTCTTGCGATGGGGCTAAAACTTATAATCATGGCATCATCAACAAAATTATCGTTTTGCCACAGACAGACGGCACAGCACACATGTGTGTGGAAGTGGAAGTGGTCCTGCACAGATACACTCGCCATTTAAGAGCATAAAAGCGAAACGTGCTCGAAATGTGAATTACTCGCGCCCCAAAACCCTCACACATGCACACGCACACTCACACACTGTTGCACTTGAAGTGCCAGAGTGTATGTGCGAGTTGATTTTGCTCTTTGGCTCCATTTTGGCTCATAACTTTAACTATTTTACACGGAACCCAAGAAAAATTTACCCGACTTTTTCCATTGTTTTCCTTCTTTCTTTTTGTTTTTCTTTGCCTTTATTTAGTCGCTATAGTGCCTGCCTGCTGCTTTCTTTTCGGGTTGAGGAAATTGTTCGGCTGAGGGTTAAGTGGATCCAGCACCTTCAATATCTTCTCCATTTTTTTTTTCGTTTCTTGGCAAATTAACACGCCAGCAATGGGGGTGTGGAAAATGGGCATCAACAGCAATTCCAGCTTCCCTTTTAAACATTGATTTCCTGGCGCCTAGGTACATGGCGTATGTGAGCACTGAAAAAATAAATCAATTGTATATGTTTGTCAATTTAATATTTTAAACTATTTTTCACTTTGCAAACTATTGATTAAAACATTGTACATACTTTATGTATTGGAAAATAAGATCTTACTCTTAATCTTAATCTTATTGGAAAATAAGATCTTAATCAGAATACTTCATAACTAATCAATTAAATTTTTCCATTCAAAAAAAAGTATATATATTTCCAGTGTAAATATGCACATACATATATGTGTAATTGAAGCATCGAAGAAATCGCAATTCGCACGGACGCATTTCCTTGCAAAAGCAAACAACAAATAGAGACATATAAAAAAGGCGAAAGAGGCGGATAAATGGGGTGGTGAAAGAGAGGTGCCGACGTGTGGGGGAAAGAGAAGACACGACTGCTCCATTCAGCAGCTGCGAGTGGTGAAAACCTTTTTGGCACTAATTGCAATTACACGAAATATTATTTGCACACATTTCCAGCCAAAGCCGCAATCAGCGCGACAGAGAGGGGGCGACTGAGGAAGGGAGATAGCGATAGGCGGGCGCCATATGAACCAACCAACAGTGTTTAATCAGTTGAATGAATACGAAATCGAAATGGAAATCCCAAGACCCAAATGAAGACCAATCGGCGGGTTTGCCGAGAAAACTCTACTTATGATCGTAGGAGTACTGCTAGGATTAAGGTTATTATAACTTTAAATTTGTAAATTGACTATCATAAGTACATTTTTGATAAAAGTAAATTGTTCTCTAACTAAATATTGATTGCACCGGAAATAAAACTGGAATTAATCAGAGAAAGCTGTCTTCATATAAAAAATGGAGTTTGAATAGTGAACAAACTATAATATTTGCTAATTAATTCAGTTTAACACATTTTAAATTTTATAGTTAATTAAAAATATCTATATTAATAATATTATTTAATAAATAAATAATAAATAAATAATAAAGAAAAATAAGAAGTTTAATTTCGAATATGAAAATGTTTACTTAAAAGGACATAAAAATGAGAT